ATGGCATGGTATGGCATGGTATGGTATGGCATGTATGGCATGGTATGGCATGGTATGACATGGCATGGTATGGCATGACATGGCACGGTATGGCATGGTATGCCATAGAATGGTATGGCACGGTATGGCATAGCATGGCATGATATGGCATGGTATAGTATGGTATGGTATGGCATGGTATGGTGTGATATGGCATAGCATGGCATGGTATGGTATGGTATGGCATGGCATGGTATGGTATGGCATGGTATGGTATGGCACGATATGGTATTTGATGTATTTTTCAGAAATCATTTAACCTGTCACTCACTTGAATAGTTACAGTAATATAAATTTCATTTCTGTAGCTAATTGGGCCTTGGTGCTTTGGCTATCTTCTTTCATTCAATTTCAGCAAATCCTTGAAAGATTTACATTTGTAGTTTCTGAGTAGCTGCTTTGTGTTTATTAAACTTATATTTCAGGACATGTCAATTATAATAATTTAGCCATCTATTAAATATTCAAAATATCATAAACTGCTGCAAACCAAAACAATAGGCCAAAAGTTCATGTTGCCAGTTACTGTAACTATTTATTTCTTGGAATGGTTCAGATTTGACCTTTGTTGTTGCTTTCTTGATGTTCCATGTAGTGGTGCATCATTTCCAACACGTTGGACGGGCCAGAAGACACACTAATGTCACCCTGTTGGACAAAGTTTCCATTAGAGCACTTTATGTAATTCACATTATTCATGAATGCAGATAGAGTTGGTGTTGTACAGTAATCCAAGGATCCTCCAACAGTAGAGATGCAGTCATACGGTACGCAGGATTTGGCTTAAGAAGGTGAGTCAACACTTTTTTTGCTGTGGAGACAAACTTAAGCCAGTCAGTGTGTGAGTTACAATCTAAACTCAGTGCTTTGCATTAACTGTTTTTAAAAGTATGAACGAAGATAAAGTTTCACCTGCATCACTGACAGTTTCCCAAATGGGTTGATCAAATTTAATTTCCTTGGTCATGATCTTCTTTATTAGATTTTCCTTAGTTTTGGAATAAAATGGAGGTATTCCACACAGCCTACAGAGGGACATACTCAAGCTCAGCAAGTGAACATATACCTGGAAACAATATTATGTGTGTCTACTTACAGTATATACATAATGACTCCAATACTCCAATTATCACACCAGTTGCTATAACCACGGCCACTCATCATTTCCGGTGCTAAAAGGTACATGTGGCATGTGAACAGCATGGTTTACTTTGACATCGCACAAAGATGAAGGCATAAAGGAACTGCTTGAAACGTGCTTTAATACATGTTTATCTTCTGAGATGCTTTAAAAAGATAATAAGGAAAAACTATACTGTGGATATCATGTTCTGTCAACAAATTCACTAAAATATTGGGCATGACGTACAGGAGCCAAATAACAAATATTGTGGAAATTTGGGGTTAAAGCCGGTGGATTTACTGAGCTGTAAAAAGTCTATGCATTAATTTAAGTGCAGTAAAGAAGATGCTTTGAGCTCGTTAGTCCCACAACCCAATTCCCTCTGTTTGGAAACAAAGTCGGGTTGAACACACACACACACACACACATATATATATATATATATATATATATATATATATATATATATATATA